GCCCTTCCTCATTAACTTTCCTTGTTTCATATTTCAAGATATTCTTGGTCGCTATTGCTCGAATTCTAATAATTTCACCATACTTGATGAAAGCATGAAAATGTATATTTAAAGTATGTTTAACCATTGACATTTATGGAATTATGGGTTTAAGAGTTTTATTTTTCTATAGATAATTTTATAAGTGTTCATTTTATTCATGTTGTGCAAATGTTATGGTGATTGAAGGTTGATGTTAAATGGAGAAGAATTAGAAAAAGGACTTAAATGCAAGGAGCAAATTGCAAAGATCAGAAATATGATGATCAACTTGCGCGGAATCCAGGAGTCAGGGACCAAGACTGTTATTCTGCCATTAACCAAAATTGCACAAAAGACCAAAAACCCGACACGGAGGATGCAGTTGACGCTCCACTCAAAGTGCCGGTACCTTGTAAAGAGTGTCGACCCCTTGCGCAATAATTCAGCCAAATCATATCTGTCCTAATTATTGTGATGTGAGCCCCACAGCCATTATAATTAGGGTTTTTAAGATTCTATAAATACCCATCTAAGTTATTTTAGAGGGGGCTCCACGGTTGGAGAGGCTGCTACTAGACTTCCATTTTCTTCTTCAAGGCTAGAGAATTATATCAAAGGACGACTAAACTTTCAACAAGATGAAAGAGGATCTTGATTGAGGAGTTTGCCTTGTTATTTTATTTTGATTCATTCATAGATTTTATTGTTTAATTTTATTTTTGAGAGATTATTAATTATTTTCAGACTTGAAAACCTTAAAAATTATATTTATCAAATTTCATATAAGATTAGTCATGCTCTTTTTATGTGTGATTTGTTAGAATATAATTAATTGGTAGATTTGTTTTGCAGGTTGGTCCTTTACTGCAGTATTGTTGATTAGATATATTGTCGCTCTCAGATAACTCGTAAGGATAGATCAGTTTGTTCTTCATTTAAATTAATTTTTCTCAAAATAAATACATTAGTCATTATTATTGATTTTCAAAGTTGAATCTTCCGATTATTTGTTTGGGATGTGAAACATGCAATTGAGTAATAAATAGGAATCAAAATTTATAACAGTTAAACAAATCAATTAAGTGAACCCTGAAATCTTGTTCATCATAATATTGTTTTTAATCTTTTACGATTATCATCTTTTATTTAAATATTTTTATTTTTAATTTTAGAATTCATCTTTTAATTTAATTTCTCATTGTGACAACTCTTTTTGTTGATTTAACATAGCTTCCCTATGGATTCGACACCTAAAGTTACGCTACAACAACCGCTTAGCCAAGGGGTATTAATTTTGAGGCGAGACATCAAAATTTGGCGCCATTGCCGGGGAAGCCAGATTGACAATTAGAGTTTGAACATTCTTCACTTTTCTTTTATGTATTTTATTTTACTTTTCTTTTCTTTAGCTTATTTTACTTTCTTGCTTTTATTTTATTTTCTTCATTCAAAAAAAAAAAAAAAGTAGATTAGAGTGTATGAATAGACCGAGAGACGAAAAAGGGAGATTTATTATATTAGATCCACCACCTTTTCAAAAAGAAGAAGTCGAGTCTAATTCATCCTTTAATTCTGAAACCATGAGTCAATATGGGGATCAACCTATTAGGACTTTGAAAGACTATTTGCACCCCACTAGAACAGCTACACCATCATGCATAATGTTTCCTCCTAATACACCACATTTTGAGTTCAAACCTGGAATGATTCAGCTTTTGCCTAGTTTCCATGGTTTAGAGAATGAAAATCCGTATGTGCATGTTAGGGAATTTGAGGAAGTAGTAGCTACTTTTCATAGTCGAGCTGACACTATAAACACAGTTAGGTTGAAATTCTTTCCCTTCTCCTTGAAAGACAAAGCTAAAATTTGGTTATATTCTTTGAGATCGAGATCTATAGGTACCTGGGCAGAGATGACTCAAGCTTTCTTTAACAAGTACTTTCCACACCATAAAACTAATAATTTTAAAAGACATATCTCCACATTTTCTCAAAAGGATAGTGAAACCTTATACCAAGCATGGGAGAGGTTTAAAGAATTACAAAACTTGTGTCCACATCATGGGTATGAAACTTGGAAGTTGGTTAGTTATTTCTATGAGAGTTTAACTAGTAGGGAGCGTCAATTCATAGAGATGATGTGTAATGGGGAATTTTTGCATAAGGACCCAGAAGAAGCCATAGATTATTTAAATGAGTTAGCTGAAAAAGCTCACACTTGGACAGGACCTAGTGCCACTGATAGTACTAGTAGGTCACAATCATCTGGGATTTACCACCTTAAGGAGGAAGATAACCTTAGAGCCCAATTGGAAGTTGCAACTAGGGAACTTGAGACGTTAAAAATGAAAAATAATAGAGTCACCCACACAGTTGCAAGGGTAGAAGCTCAGGCTCCATGTTTTGTTTGTGGAGGATTGGATCATTTAGCTCAAGATTGCCTAACCTATGGTGAGATGAGAGGGGTTTATGAAGAACAATGTAATGCATTAGGAATGGGTAGGGAACCTTTTTCACCCTATTCAGAGACATACAATCCTAGTTGGAGGAACCATCCCAATTTTAGTTGGAAGGCTAATCAGAACCATCCCACATCATCTAGCAATACTTGGAATAGTGAAGCTCAACCACTCAAGTCTTACCCTACACCTCAATACAATGCATGACTAGATAGAAATCCTTTAGAGGAAACACTTAAGGCATTTATGGAAGCACAAACTAAGACTAACCAAAAGTTTGATTCTATTCTTACACAGATGGTTGAAGAAAACAAGGATATCAAGAGTCAACTAACTAAGTTGACCAATGCTCTTACTATCCAAGAACGAGGTAAGATTGCATCTCAACCTCAAGCTAATCCTAAAATTTACATTTGGTGCAGGAATCTACCTCTAATTCGGAGAACATTCAAGGGGTCAATGCAATCACTACTCGTACTGGTAAGGTTATAGAGCCATTGCAAAAGTCACCTAAATTGAAGGATGCTACTCCAAGTAGCCGTGAAGATGACCTGTTGGAAGAACCTGAGAAGGAGGTCCCAATTCGAGTTCCTTTCCCTCAAGCTCTTAAAACTGGAAAGATTTCAAACAATCAAGGTGAGATTTTAGAAAATTTGAAATAAGTTAAGATTAATCTACCTTTGTTGCATGTGATTAAACAGGTACCAACTTATGCCAAAGTGATCAAGGATCTATGCACCATAAAAAGGAAACACCATGTCAAGAAAACTGCATTCTTGACAGAACAGGTAAGTGCGGTAATTGAG